CCCCGGAAGCTGGCTTTCCCTCTGGGAAGATACCTTGTAAAGGTGTGTCCAGGAGGGCCTTGCAGGTCGGGTAGGGTGATAGAAAACTCTCTTCACAGAAGTTAACACTAAAGATCCATTTTCCTCTAATGAATTCCTCCAGCTCAGGAAAGTAATGTCAATCCCGTGGCCCATTTTCAACTCCGCTAGCAGTCCAGCGATCCAGCTTTCCTCTTGAATGCCGCCAATGTTTATCCAGTTCCAAAGACAATGATGCTTAGTGTTTTCACCTTGCAATGACAGGTTAAGATCCCGTGTCAGCTTCTGGTCAAATATGCAAGACAATATAATGCCAGCCTTGTTAACCAAGTCGAGGGTCTGGTCAGGGTTGGTCAGCGAGCTGGGACCATGCGCTCTGTGAGTCAAAATACGCACCTCGTCCCTCAGTTCATACAGGCGGCTGAGAACATTTCCCCTTGAAAGCCACCTGACTTCTGTGTGGAACAGCAGGCCCTGATGCTCCGATCCCAGTTCGTTGCAGAGATACAGCCTGGTATTGAGTGGACGGGATTTTATGTAGTTGACCATTTTTATCGCCGTCTCAAGAACACTTTTAAGCTCTGGGTCAAGCGTTTTACTCGCTAGAGCTCCTCTGTGGATAATAAGCTCTAGCCAATCAAACCGCTGCTTGTGTGTCAGGGGCGGGAGATTCATGTGATTGGTTGTTGGTCGAGCTTCAGACACGCCCGCCGGCAAGCTTTTTTTGAAGCTGTGACGCCCGTCCACACTACCCAGCGCCGTATAGACTGACACTACCCATTGACTTGCATAGCACTTGTGTGTTATTGAGTAAATAACAGTGTGTGGTTTGAATACAAAATTAGAAGGAAAAATCGATGAAACAATTCAGATTTCAGTATTCTGAGCCCCTACTCTCCCCATAACTGACGGCAACAAAAGTCCTACATTATTAAATTAAAATAAAGAAGTAAACACAATAAGTGTGGCTTGATATTGAGTAAGAAAAAGTTTGATAAACGCTGTGAGAATGGGTCTGCGGAGAGCATTTCTCCACCATCCCAACTCGTCTATTACAAACGTTCAGGGAGCTCTGCAAGTCAATGGGACGGCCTGTTAGTTGAAAATTAACGCTAAAGGGCCCCCCTGCGCTTGATAGTGACGCCAAGAGATCCTGACATAACGTCACTATAGTACGAGTTGGGAGTGAGAATGTGTTGGTTTATTATAAGGAAATGCCGTAAAGTAGCTGCCAATTGAATCTGCAGAGCCATGCTGGAATAAAAAGAAACAGTTCGGATGTTTTGCTTTGAGAAGTGCAAACAAATAACATTTTTGTGTGTTTGAGCTGTTAGTCAAAAAAGAAAGCACACAAGAGAAGGCACATCCTGCATAACACCACAACGACAGCAGCGCCTCTAAGTAGGCTCAAGTCCCGCCTCCCCTTCAACAAGGCAGCACAAGAGATTCTCAATTCCACCTCTGAGGACCTCTCCAGAGATGCATGGTTGGCGGCTGATTGGAAGCAGGAGTGGGAGCTAGCCGGGCCCTCCCGCATCCATCGCTCTGGGACCCAGGAGATGGCGCCATAGGAGGAGACGACCTACCACGCCGGCAATGGAGCACACTAAGCCGTCTACGAACTGGGGTCGCTTCAAAACATCAATGAAGAAGTGGGGCCTTGGCAGACAGTGCAGCATGCGAGTGCGGTGAACCTGAACAGACTGCCTACACATAATCACCACCTACCCTTTATATAGACCACCCTCGGGAGCCAGCCTCTTCGACTTAGGACCAGAGATGCGGGCATGGCTACACGAAACCGAGTTGGACCTCTGACGTTACACGAAAGAAGAGAAGTGAATAAGAGAAAGTATGAACCTTATTTTGTATTATATTTAGCAGGAATAAGTTATGAATTACCGTCAAATGTTTGAAAAAACCAGAACCTTTTCTTAGTGATAAAACTTAAATAAAAAGATGCATAAAGTATTCCAAAAAAAATCACAATTAAAAACAGAGAAAATGTTTTTATAGCTGAAATCAACATGATCTCAATTTGGTCTGCATTATTATTATCCTCTTGACTTTTTAAAACCCAAAACAAATAATGTGAGTTATCACTACAGAATTAGTCAATCTGATTTATATTATTATTATTATTTTTTACAGCATTTTCAATGAAAAAAAATACATTTCTCTTTTGTTTTGTGAAGTATAAAACCTTTTCAAGATAAAAACATGACTGTTATTAAAGTAGGTACAGGTGACATGAGTGGGAAATAGAAAAATAAAGCACCTTAGATTCATAAAGCCCATAACAAACAAACACACACATGGAGGCTGGTGGACAGAGGAGCAAAGGAAACATGTGGCGGTGTCAAAGGAAACACTTTCCAACAGAAACATGTTAATTATCCCAATTATACATCTTTTAAAACAAATAAAAAAGGCTGTTTTGGTCGAGTGTGATGCTGAGTGGAAAACAGGAAGTGGCTGTAGTGATTCAGGCTCCATGTGAGTGAGAAGAAAGTCATTTTACATCCATGACTTTGTCTTTAAATCTTCACTTCCTGCCTTTATTCTTTCCTTGCTTCCACACTTTTTTAATATCTCCTCTTCCTGTGTTTGTGTCCGTCCTCAGTAGCTAATACAGTTTGAGACATTGTCATATTTACATGTTAAAAAGTCACGTGTTGGTTGTATAAGCCTGACAGTGAAATGGATTTACTATAAACCTGGTTCCTTTATACAGTATGTTGTATTTACAGATGAGTGTTGAGGTTTCTGCATTACATCGTTTGACCACCAGATGGCGCCGACAGAGCATAAAGAACATGTTTTATTGTTTTTCAAAAAGGCACGATGAGTAGGACTTCCCTTAAAAAAAAGCTAAAAGTATTCGTTAACTATTTTGATAATTAATAAATCACTCAAGTCATTATTTAATGAAAAAACTAAATATAGAAACATATTTTTTTTAGCCTCACATTTTGAGATGTCCTGCTTTTCTACATTTTGGATTAAATTGAGTATCTTTTGGTTTTGGACAGACCAAACAAGATGTTTGAAGATGTCAGATTGGACGTTTCATTTTCCATTTCCAGTATTAATTAATTGATGAGATTAAGGGACACATTCCACTCATTGTGCCTTTAAGTAACAACAGTATTGCCCAATATATGGACACCAGAGCTTTGCAACACAGATATACGTATCATCTTCCAAAATGCAGACCTGCCACACTCTATAACCCTTTCTATAGAAATGTGTGTGTTTATTCACCCGATAGAAATAGGGTTAGGGTCACGGAGTTTTTAAAAGTGTGTTTATATGCCCTAACATTTTCTGTCAGTGTACTCTGGGGGCTTTAGGGAGATTACATTAACAAATAAAAGCTTTTTAAGGTCATAAATTATTAAAAAATGGGTGTATTTATTATATTTTGAAGTCTCATCTCTGAGTGTTTTGTCCAGTGGGAAAGAGGCTAAAGTCAATCATCAAAACACATAAAGTGAGGGTGGGGTTCACGACCTCCAGGATCCACTTGCAGGTAGTAAATATGTCAATTTGTGCATAAATACAGGTTTTTTTAAACAGTGATAAACAGGCGTCTTTTCCCATTGCAGGTAGACCAGTTTGGCTTTAGGTATTTTTGTTTCTAGTGTTTCAGACTACACAAATATAACAAATGTCCAAATGTCATTTATTCGTCTGTCAGAGCCCAACGTCAGTGGATGATAGAGGGTTTTATCCAGTTGGTAAAGTAAAGTAAAGCCTTTCCACACCCACACCCACGTTTCTCAAGAGCAGGCCTTATTTTATTCTTTCCCAAAACCAGTGCAAGTCCCGTCTTAAAATCATCTTTTAGCAGCGAGTTCGATTTCCTTTCTTCTGTGTCTTCGTTTTAAAATGTGTTTGGTGCCGCGCTACGACTCCCGAACCTCATTTTCCGTCCTCTTCTGTCTGTCCATAAATCTGTCAATCGTCAGGTATTTCTCTCCCTCCTCCTCTTCTTCTTCCCCCCGATGTCTCTTAGCTAAATCGCTCGCTATCGCCAGCGCTCCACCTTTCAGGAACCGGACGAAGTTTTCCCCGACCAGCGGCCCCATGGCGTACAAACCGGGCCCCTCCGCCCCCAGAACCTTGTTGGTGAACGGATCCACGTCTATGGGGTTCCTTCGGCAAGTAATGGGCTCCTCCGGGTAGATTCCCAGCGCTCGGCCATTTTCCCGCAAGAAGGAGAGGTTTGGATGAGCTCCAATCAGAACCAGCGCTTTGGAGATCTGCAGAACCGTGCGTTCGCCAGAATCCGACTCAAGGACGCACTTCTTGTCGGGTCTGAACGCCACTACTTTGTATCGCGGGAAACTGAGGTATCCCGAGTAAGAGGAGGAAGAGGAGGAGGAGGCAGGGGGAAGGGAGGAAGAGGAAGAAGAGGTGGGGGTTTGCAGGTTGTGGGCGTGGCTTTGAGGGGGAGGCGGGGCCTGGTACTGCTGCTGAGTCATCATCTGGTGAATCTGCAGGAAGAGACAGGAAGTGAGTGTCAAACAGGTTTTAATACCACAAAGCAAAGAAGGAAAATGGATGGTTTTGAAGTGATGTTGAAAAAGGGGATTTATCCATAGTCAGTATATTAACTACAGAAAAGGCAGGAGGGAGAAACATGTCTTATAAATCTGGTTTTATAACCACAAAGCAAAGAAGGAAAATGGATGGTTTGAAGTGAAAGAGGGATTTGTCTATAGTCAGTCTAACAAAAAAAGCAGGTTGGAGAAACATGCATTTTAAAAGCTGGACTTCTCCATCTGGACTCAAACCATTGACTCCATTAGAGGAACAAGTGGTGTTACAGGACAGGCAGTGAGCATGCTGTGAGCAACACACCCACACGGTAACTTCTTCAAATTCTGTTGATGATGTTTTAGTACAATTTTGGTGTTTTTCTTTAAGTTGTATTTAGACGAGTTGCATAACTGGCTTTAATTCTCTCCTTTCAGAGTATACTCTTATACTCGATGCATCACATCTCTTTATGTTTTAATAAGTTCCTGCATATTGTGAAACCTCCTTACTTTTTGTTACTCGGATAGAGCAATATATCTGCAGTTGGCGACCCTAATCTATACATCTCCGCATCGGCTATTTATACAAAAAAAATGTTTTTCTTAAAAGTCTTAAAATAAACATTCTAAGAGTGATGTTGAGTTGCAATTTAACTCAGCAAGTGGATAATATTGTGAATATATAATATCCTCTTTTTTTCTTTAAATCTGACATTGAACACAAAATAAAAATGCTTCAAATCAGAGATGTTGTCAGGAAATGTAGATGTCTTAGTGGGGTACCTTGTGGTACTCCGTGTAGAGCAATTTGTTTATTTTCTATTGTTAAATTGTCGTATTTTATCAAACATTCATACAAATCAATATATCTGCAATTTGTGTCCCTGCTCTCTAAATATCGCATCGGCTATTTGAACTCATTTAAAATGTAATGTAATGTAAAATGTAATGTAGTGCACAATATTGTGAATATAAAATATTTGTATGCAAGCCCTTTTTATTCTTTAAATCCTAATAAAAATGCTTCGAATCAGACATGTGGTCAGGAAATGTAGATGTCTTAGTGGGGTACCTTGTGGTACTCCGGGTAGAGCAGTTTGGGCAGCTGGTTGAAGATGAGCCCCGGGTCGTTGACGGAGCGTCTGAAGACGTGGTACACCGGCGTGTTCAGGTGATGGGCTGCCAGAACAGCGTCCGCCGCAGTAAGCCCCGCCCCCACCACCAGCACGGGGTCCGATGATTGGTCGAGCTCTCCACGGGAAATGGCGGCCTCCAGCTCCCAGAAGGAGTGGCAGACGTGGGGCAGCGACTCGCCCTCGACTCCCAGTCGGGCCGGGATGTCGTGGGTTCCCGTCGCCAGAACCACGTTATGAGCCAGCAGCGAGAACGGAACCTCGTCGGAAACAGTGGAACCATCTGACAGGAAGTGGAGGGAGGACACAGGAAGTGGAGGGTTAATATGAGACTCTTTAGAACCCTTATGTCAATGGAAAATAATTGTATCATATCGTATTTTTAAAGCAGTTTGATTAAGGGGACTTTTCATCCAACAGGGAGAACTTACAAAATATAAAAACAATATATATTATTACACAATTATTTAATCAACGTCACGCGAAAATATGAATATAGCCTAATTTAAAGAAGTTTAGGAAGGGGTCATGATATAGAAAACAGCTCTAAAAAAAAAGCTAATAGATATGAAAATAAGTGAATATTTAGTGTCTAAAAGCTTAAAATATTCTAAATATATTACATATATCCCAGCGTGTTTTATTAAAGTTATGAAACGGTACTTTAAGAGCTTTGAGCACCAGGAAAAGCGCAATATAAATCACATGTATTATTCTTATTATTACCTCCCAGCTCCTCCCCTTCGCGCCGCTGCAGTCCCGTCACCCTCCAGCAGGGCGGCGATCCCTCCTGGTTGCTAGGCTGCCTGGTTACCCCGGTTACGGTTGTCCCACAGGCGAAGTTCTGCTCCAATGACATCTGGGAAACGTAGTGCTGGTAATAAGAGGCGATTTCTGCGGGAGTGGCTCGGTCATTACGGACATTTCTGCGGGAAAAATAAACAAGGGAATAGATTTACAAACAAGATACATTCATAGATTTTAATTCATCATTAACACACACAGAATTAATACATATTTACTTGAATTTAAGAAGTGGTTTTACTATTTGAAACACTGAAACAACAATTTAGAAAAGGTAATGTTGTGGGAATACTCTAAGTTAAAGTCTAAAAGAGTTGAACAGGAAGTATAGAGGTTCGTGGAAGATAAAAATCAACTTATCAAATCAATATTTTTGAAAGACAAACAAAAAGGTGTGGTGACATTTAACACAGATTGTATTCATCAACACAAACTCAATGCTCTGCGTCTCATGCTTCTTTATGCAGATGTCACTATTAAACTCATTCCAAAAGGCACAATTAAGACTGTTAAAAAGCTCAGCAATGTCACCCTCTGGTGGTCAAAGTGGAGGATAGCTCTTGATAAAAACCAGTAAGAACCATTCAAACTCCTGCCGAGGTTAACACTGATTGCATAAAGTCCCTCCTAAATATGTTTAGGATCTTAAAGCCATCTATCTTTCTATCCATCTATCTATCCATCTATCTATCTATCTATCTATCTATCCATCCATCCATCTATCTATCTATCTATCTATCTATCTACCTACTTACCTACCTACCTACCTACCTACCTACCTACCTACATATTTATCAATCTACCTATCTACCAATCTTTAAATCCAGTGAGGGGCACCTGCGTAAATTGAGTGCTTCTCTGCATATACTAATACTTTCTGAGGCAAATGAAGGGTTAAATCAATATGATATGTGTTCTGTAATAACCACTC